GCAGGGGAAGGCAGGGGAAGGCAGGGGAAGGCAGGGGAAGGCAGGGAGTGCATGCGGGAGGGACGCGGGCCCGCCCCTGCCCGCCGGGGGAGGCCACGGCCATCATCATCACCTCCATCATCATCACCTCCATCATCATCGGCATCGCCGCCTCCGCCGCCGCAGCCACAGCCAAAACCGCAGCCACGGCCACGGCCACGCACCCAGGGCACCCACAGGGGCTGGTGCTGCTTCCCAGCACCGTGGCTGGGAATGGTCGTGCCCCCCACCCTGGTCCTGCCCACCACAGACCCCAACACCACAGACCCCGACACCGCGGCCCCAACACCACAGACCCCAACACCACAGACCCCAACACCACAGACCCCAACACCGTGTCCCCAACACCGTGTCCCCAACACCGCGCCCCCAACGCCTCCCTACCTCTGGCCAGGGACTCGAAGGGCTCCAGGGGGTCCTCGCTGAGGATGTGGGGATCCTCCAGCCGCGGGGCAATGGGTGACGCGTCCCCCAGGCACCCGCTGCCCGCGCTGGGGGCCAGGACGGGCCCCTCCTGCCCCAGTGGCCCCGTGCCGGCGGCGGCCCCGTTGTAGCTGCAGATCTTCAGGTCTAAAGGGAACAACCGACGGAGAAGGGAGCCTGAGGTGGTGGGATGTGACGGTGACAGGGGACCCCCAGCACGGGCCATCGCTGTTCCCCACCCCGGGACACCAGCCCTCCCATGGCACCGCCTGGTGACGCCCCGGGCTGCGTCTGGCCTGGTTTAGCAAGATCCCAACACCAGCTCCGAGCTGTGACGGGACAAATCCCACCTGGGCCGTGGGGCAGGCGGGTCAGAGGGGCTGGGATTCCCCAGGGAACGTGGTGCCTGACGCCAGCAGGATCCAGCCCCTGCCCGCCGGGGCCGCAGCGTCACATCCCAGAGCTCTCCGCCAGCCCTCCCGGGCTCCTACCTGGCTGTGCCTCCTCCAGCTCCCGGCTGCCCACCAGCCCAGCCCCGTTCTCCGCCACGGGCATCTCTTTGGCGGCGCCGCCGGCGTCTCCCTGGCCGGGGCTCGGCTCCCCCGGGGGCAGCGGGAAGGGCTGCGTGTCCGAGCCCAGCATGGGCGAGGCCTGACCCGCCGCGTAGAAGCCGTCGGGCCCGTTCTGCATCAGCTCGAAGCTCTGGTCGTGGAAGGAGTCGTAAAGCTCCTGCGAGTCGAAGTTGAGCCCCATGGGCCCGGCGGTGCCGTTGCCCCAGAACTCCTGCCCGGCCACCCGCAGGTTGGTGCCGTGGCCCGGGGAGGGCGGCCGGGACCCCTCGGCCACCCCGTTGAGGGGGAACTGCCCGAGGGCGGGCGGGCCCCCGTCCTTGAGGCTGCTGGCGGGCGCGTAGGCCGCGTAGTCCCAGAGGCAGTCGTAGGCGCGCAGGGGTTGGGAGCCGGCGGGCGCCGAGCCGGGCGGGAATGTCCCTGAAGTACCGGGGTGCGATACAGTAGAGAAGCCATTGACATTCATGCCCCCGTTCAGACCTGCGGGGTCAGAGGGACAGCGGGGTCAGTGGTGCGGGGTCTGTCAATGTCAGGCCCTGCCAGCGGTCGGCGAGAGGGTTGAGGATGGACAAACGACCCGCCCTGGCAGGTGCCAACCCCGTGCTCTCCGTGCCCGGACGGAGCCGGGGGGTTGCACCATCCCCGTTCACCAAACCGGCTCTGCCGCGGGCTCCGCCGGCACCGGGCCGAGCGCCGCAGGACGCCAGGGATTAGCCGAGTGCTTGGCAGGGCTGTGCCGGATCAGCTGACCGGCCAAATCCACGCACAGACCCGGGGCCGGCGCAGCTGCTTTTCTAGGCCAAGGCGACGCTGGGCACGCGCAGACCCCGGCCCCGGCCCCAAGCACGGGAGCTGCTGCGGCCCCTACGGCCCCAGGGTCCCCCATCCCCAGGGCCCCCCATCTCCACAGCCCCCCCCCTCTCCACAGCCCCCCCATCCCCACGGCCCCCTCATCCCCACAGCCCCCCCACCCCTGCAGCCCCTCCACCCCCATCCCCACGGGGTCACTCACTTTTCCCTTGCTGGGGGAAGCCGAGGGGGGAGCTGTGGGTGAAGGGGGTGTCCCCTGAGGCAGGCGTGGGTTTCGGTCCTGAGGCAGCGGGTGCGGAGGAAAGGCCAGTGAAGTTAAAATGGTTGTTTGTTTCCATTTCTGCACGGGGGACAAGATGCACCAGGGTCAGTCGCTGGCAGGGGCTGGTGCTGCCGGCACAGTGACCACCCTGCCCTGCCAACCACGGCGGGGGCCATGGGAGCATTGGGACCCCCCGTTCCCACTCCCTGCCATCTCCTGACCTGGTGTTCAAGTGCTTGGGAGGGTCAGGAGTGACATCAAAGCCCCCCGGGACTGGCCCAGGCCCTGCCACCCCGGCTGGATGAGCTGCCACCTGTGTGAGCACAGCTTGTCACCGTGCCCCAGTGTCCCCAGGGACGGCCACCACCGAGATGTGATCACCCTGTGCCGCCTGCCTGCACCAAACTCGGGCACTCGGCTCCCTGGTGCTGCCATCCCGAGGGGGCTCCCAGCCAAGGACCCACAGGGACCCCTCCAGAGCAACTCCATGACCCCATGCGGTCCCAGGACAGCCCAGAGCTCCCGGCACAGGGATGACTCTGGTGTCCCCACCGCTGCCATCCCCCTGAGCTGGAGGAGATCCCACACCCCATCCCACAGGCACAGCTCCAGGATCTGAGGCTGGATCCTGACCGGGAGCAAGGAGGAGCTGGAGCCCCGGTGGAGGGATGTGCAGGGGCCTGGTGATCTTCATCACCCCGGAACAGCAAATGGTTCCTCAAATCAGAGCCCACAAGGAGGGTTTGGGGGGGGGTCCAGCCCCAGGATGGGACCCCGCTGTTGTTCTGAGGGGATCCTGGTGCGGGGCAGCCGAGGCCCTGCAAGCCCAGCAGACGAGGTGGGAGATCTGGCAGGGACCCACAGGGACACTCTCCGGGGCTGCCACCGCCGGCACCTCCCGGTCGTGTTTGGTGTTTGCCAAACCCGGCGCTGGCCAAGGCGGCGCCGGCCCCGCCGACCTCTCCGGAAGGGCCGAGGGCTGCCGCGCTCGTGGCACGGCCCGTGTCGAAACCCACATTTCATCACACCCTCGCCCGCCTCAGCTGGTGCCCTGGCAGGGGCCGCAGGGGCCACCGAGCCCGGCCGGGGCCACCGGTGATTCATCCGCCAGAGAAACCCGTATGGGCGGTGACGCAGCTGCTGCCACACACACACGGTGCTCCCGGACACCCCGGGACGGCCCTGAGGCCACCCCCCCTCCCCGAGCCCTGAGTGGGGGGCTGGCCCTGCCCTGACCCCAGCGGGGACCCGGGGGACAGGGGACAGAGGCCACGGGGGGGTTGGATAAGGAAGGGCCTTTCCGGTCCCACCCCGCGGGTGATGCACCGGCCGGGAACGCGGCTCTGGAGGTCAGAGGAGGCGGCAAAGGGATGTGCCAGAACCGGGCAGGTGGCGGCTGCGGGTCAGCGCCGCAGACTGGGACGGAGTGGGATGGACTGGGATGGACTGGGATGGAGTGGGATGGACTGGGCACTCACCGGTGTGGGGAGGGGGCCGGGAGAAAATAAAAGCTGGGGAGTGGGAATGTCACCCGCGCTCCGGGGACAGCCCAGGCCCTGAGGATGCCAGAGCCGCCCTTGGCATCGCCGGGAGCTCAGCCAGCACCAGGTGCAGTGTGGACACAGGCCCTCCATGGCCATCCACGGCCATCCACGGCCATCCATGGCCACCCACGGCCACCCACGGCCTCCCAGCCAGGCTGGGGCTCCCGTGGCCCCGCTCCCCCCCCCC